AACCAAATCATAAATCACACTAAAAGCAAAGTTCTTTTCGGCACTTAACCAACATTTAGTAAACCTTAATACGAGTGTATCCTAACTTATAGCTCATGCTCATGAGCTCATCATAAGTTCACCAAGTTGATGCCCTCTAGTTCAACTGAGTCTACCAAAACTACATTCGATTAGCGCCCCAAAATATGTTCAATTAGCCATTAAAACAAACAACATTACAACAGCATCATTGTAGTTTGTTAAAAGACTAGGTAAAATGTTTCTTCCTTGCATCCAAAATTATTTAATGCAGCTCCCAAATTCTGCAACAATGAACTATGAATCCAATTTATACAGCAGAATAACCTAACTGGATGAAATAACTCGATTCGAGCCAAAATTTACACATAAAACTGTTGCATCACCTAATCAATCAACTAAATTTGCAATGAATCAACCAAAATTGCAGCAATTAGCTAAAATGGTGATAAAATTTTCAAATATACCTCGCGCTTCAAACCTTCTTCTCGAGCACTATAAGCACCACTAGTCTGAATATTCTCCGTAAAAATACTCTTCACAGGATCCTCCTTCACCGTCACACCACTCGCATTAGCAGGACCAACAGGAACAGCACCTCCACCAGAATTCGCGCCATCTTTCGCAGAATCAGGAACCTCAACCTTCACCGAACCGCCATCAACCTTACTAAGCTTAGTACTCCTCGGCGCACCGTCGAGGCGAGCGGCAGTAAAGGTACGAATAGAGGAGGAATCATTAGGAGGAAAGTTATCATTATCGTCGTCATCGTCGTCGTCGTTATCGGCGGGAGTAGCGGCTGCGGCGTCATCGGAGGAGTTATCGGCGGGAGTAGCGGCGGAGATGGAGTCGAGATCGTCGGTGGTGTCGGCGGAGAGGAAGGAAGAGGGAGGAGGAGCGTCGTTGGTGGTGGTGGTGGGAGGAGGAGGGCGTTTGCGTTTGTTGTGGTGAGGGTGGTGGTGGAGTGAGGAGGTTGCGGCGGAGACGGAGGCGGAGGAGTGGGAAGGAGATTGGGATTGCGAGTGCGAGTGGGAACTCCGGGAACGAGCTCCGGCGACGGTGGTGGTGGGGTTCAGGTGAGATGGATGAGAGTCCATCGCAAATTATTAGGCAGGCTAGCCGATGTGACGTGAAGCCGTGAAGGAAATTATCTGATTTCAACTCACGGTGATGTGGAGTTGTGGAGTCCTTGACTGTACTTTATCCGTCTCTAAAAATTACTATTTCGAGTAAAACGTTTTGACTTTTTGCTATTTATGTAATCAACTTTGTTTTAGTGATAACTAGATTAATGCTCCTGCGATGCACAGTAGTAATAATTTATTTTTTTTCTTACACAAATAATAATCTTTTTCCCATAATTAATTGTGATATAATATAAAATAAGGCAACTCATATAAAATAAACAAATGCAATGCATATAGAAAAATAATATTAAGGAAAAAATTATTAAAGTTACAATTGAGAAAAAAAATAATTGTTGATTAGTTGTGTTGTAAATATTTAAAACTAGTATACATTATATATACATTAATTATAATGCATATTATTCCTAATAAAACTATACAATCTAGCGACTATATGATTAAAGACTTATTTATAAATGTCCTTTAATAAACATGAAAATACTAATCAAACAACAGAATAAAATCTACGGTAAAACTATTAGCACAACATACATGTAAATACATAAATTACAAATAATATATCACCTTTATATCCAATAAAATAATTTCAATAGAAATAAATACTACTCGGACCATTAAAGGCAATAATAATCCACAATTAGGCAACACTAACCTATATTATTAATAGTACATTTTCTGTTTATGAATTGATGCTCTACATGATATCGTCGCTCTTTATTATTATTATATAAAATTGTGTTTGAAGCTATCCTATGATTATTGTTTGTTTATTACCATAAAAGTTTATTTGTAGATGATAGCTATTTATCGAAAAAAAAAGGATACACAAGAAGATGTCACTTTTCACTACGTCCGACATATCTTTTACTATGCAACTTATTTATAATGTTGAATGTAATAAATTTATTATATCAATCAAATATTTCAGCAAAAGAGAATAATTTTTTTTGTAATTACTAAGATATTAATTTATTTAATTACATAATAACAAAAAATTGATTGATATTTTCTTAGAATTAGACATATGATATAGCTGTCAAACACAACATTTATTTCATAGTCATATCTAATACTCCATTAGTCTAAGAAACAAAATATTAGAAATATGTAAAAAAAAAAAAAAAAAAAAAAAAAAAAAAAAAAAAAATTAAAGTGATGTTTTAAGGTAATTTCTTTAATATCAATTATATGAATCAATTTTATTATAACTTTTTGGGCAAAATTCAATAATACTCCGTCTAAAAGATGTCCAGGCGGTAATGATTGTATTTTGTGTCTGAACCAGTGGCTCACTTTTTCTATAATTTATAAAGAGTTGGAATAATATTTCAGGTAAATGTGTATGGAAGAATTAAGAAAACGAAATAAAAAGAAATCCATTTTATGTAAAGATAATACATAAGATTTGGAATAAAATTATTATAGTTGTATTATACAAATATTTTAAAAATAAAAGATTCTTTGCCGAAAGGGGAGGGGGAGTTTTGGAGGGAAAAAACAGTACCAGGAAGTGACACGTGTCATTCCTGGTGTCTGTTTTAGTGTTATGTTATTGATTAATGATATTATTGGTGTAAGTATTGCATTAGAATACGTGTGTATGAGAATACGAAATGAGTGTTCATGTTTTGACACTTATCTATCTTTAAGACTTTAACTAGAGAGTATTTAAATGTCAAGTGATTACTGGTAGTTATGTACTCTGTACTTGTAGATAAACTAGTTAATTAAATTAGATCATGCAACTAGTTAGTCATACTCCGTACCATTGAAGCAAACTGATGTCAATATCACTGTCAAATTATCGATTCTATCTTTTTAAACACACTAAAAAAAAATACGAAAGTATAATTTTGTATATTCCGATGGTGTAGAAATTTGGAGGAAATGTCCCTAAATATTACAAAAGACGCTATCTTTATTCTTCCTTAGTCCTTACACTCATAATCAATGGATAAGCGCGTAAACAAATCTTAATTCTTGACTAATGAATATTAAAAGACTATAACTAAGCTGGTTGTTATCTTGGTCAAGGCCACTTAGTTAAATACTACTAAATGGTAGATGACTTGGTATAATCTTAGCCCTTAAGATTATTTATAAATTGGCAGTCCATGATATAATGAGCCCCTTAAACATTTACTTCTGAAACTATATATTATATCATAAAACCATATTTTTATGTATTTTAAGCCATGAAATCAACATCTTCAATGGAGTTTATAGACACTGCCCTCTTTGAAAGTTGTTCATTTGAGCTCTCTTATAATCCTCTCCAAAAATGGTTAATCCGAAAACATTTTCTTAAACATTTCCAAGACTTTCCCTGTTTAATACCATCAACTAACAAATTTGATCATTTTGATGGTACTACTATGAATCTTTTGAACGTTAATGGCTTTCTTCATGTCTCGGATTTCTTACCTGATGTTCCTCTCATTATTTGGCTTCATGAAAATTACCCTTTGGTGTCTCCTATGATCTTTATACCATCAAACCCGGAGTGTCCAATTCGCGAAAACCATCCATTTGTTGATCCTTCTGGTGTTGTTACAACACCTTACATATTAGATTGGGACCAAAAAAAGAGTAACCTATGTGACCTTGTACACAACCTTATAGACCTTTTTCAACTTGAGCATCCTTGCCTGCCCGACACTACATTGAAAGCGACAATCCAAGATGATCTAGATGCGAAGTTTTATGATGATTTAGATGTGAAAGAGACTATCATAGATGATCTTGTCAGGAAGATTTCTGATGATTTGGCTGCCTTGAATGTTCAAACTCGAAATGATATCGAGAGAGAGTCTAACAACCAAGCGAAGCTGAAAGAAAGAGGTGATGTTATAGATGGTTATATTAGTTTATTAAAGGATGAACGCGACAATCTTGAAAAAAGTGTGGCAGAAGTGGAAGAGTATAATGATAAGCTGTCAGATTGGTTGAGAATCAGCCAGAATGCTTCTTCAACTGCTCATGTTCAAATAGTTGGCGACAAGTCGAAGATGGTTGAGTTTAAGGCTGCAAGCAAGGCATTAGACGATGTCCTATATGCTTTGGACAAGGCTCTTGAACAAGGTGTGATAAGTTTAGATGTGTACATGAAGCAAGTTAGGGTGCTAGCTAGAGAACAATTTTTTCACAGAGCTATGTTTTTCGAGTTAAAAACATCTAGTTCCTAAATTTCATCATTGTTTTGTAAATTTTGGCTTCACAATGAATATTATTGTTTCATCTCTTCCAAAATTCCAGCATGTTTATATGTTCTTTGGAAAAGCAAACATATAGAGTTGTATGGTTGATTGATGGATTGCAAAATTGTGCGCATGATTATTACTTTATTAGAATATGTTAGTGGCTAACTGGTTTAACAAGTATACATCACCTGATCCATTTGATGTAACTATGAATAATGGTTGAGCACTGATCCGTGTAGAGTGAATGGAGTCGAACAGACACGAGTCAATGACCATCTATCCAACTTTTTCACTCGTTGCTACCTCCCATATCACTACATTAGGATGTAAGCAACTGGATCGCTCTGGGGTTAGAACAGCTTGTCAAGCGCCACAAGTTGGAGGAGTGGCTAGCTCCTCTACTCCAAGATCCGCCAACACCCATCACAGGTGTTAGAACCTCATTAGTCACCATTATGCTGTGAGGCCTGAGAATGGCTGAGATAAGGCACTGCGTTTTGTACCTCTCAAAAACATATATATCCACCATAAAATAGTGACAACAAAAACTAAACATCAAGGAATTCTTTCTCAAATGCGTGATAATGTAGTCTGATTGGGAAGGGGGAAAAAAGAAGAAAAAAAAAAAAGGAGCTGTAGTCCAAAAAGAACATTTTCATTAATTTTGATAATCATACATATGGGGTGGTATGCTACAATTGAAATAAACACAATCGAAGCCGACAGTGCCTAACGTCTGATCCTGATACCTGTTTATAAACTATGCCACTATGGTAATTTAAAGGGTCCATGAAGCACCCCAAAATCCCAGTATGATGAGAGAGCTCTATATATGAAAAATCAAAGGCTCGCCCAAATGAACAAATCAAGAGAATCTTAACGGTATACATAATATGGGTATAACTAATCTGTTCTTGACCGATTTGAACTACTTTTTTGATTGTTGTACAAAGGTAACAACCACCTAGACGAGTTCTTCTTCCTCCCATAACACCGCCAGTAGAGTATAAATAGAGCCACGAAAACACACAAGGGAATTGCCCACCTGGTCAAACATAAAGAGCCAAATGAGAACAGGAACTTTAAAAATTTATTAGATCAACGAAGATATTTGTGAAGCCTTAACTGAGTAGGGAATAGTGACACACTTTTTTCAGAAACAAGCAAGAGGAACATCAACATCAGGGTCAAATTTTCATACTTCTGACATAAACGGGTGTTTTGGAATTTTACTGATTTGGAGTGGCATAATTTTGGAATAAAAACCTGAGATGGGACGAGCGTATCACAATTTAAGTACTCCTTGACTCTTAGATAGATTTTACCCAATATGCTGGTTCTATATTCACTTTGTACAAGGTTTCTACAGACTAATGAATCAATGAAATTGCCATCTGAGAGGCATTCTGAACGTTCATCTAAAGAATCAATCAGAACATTTGTTATCGGTAAATTGCTGGAAACTTTATGGGGGAAATCGAGCTAAAACAGACATAGAGGAAGACCAAAAATTCTTTGTCAAATAAGTGACAGTATGTTTAATTACCTGTCTAAATCAATGATCGGGCTGTAAACAACTGTTTCCCAAGTGCCTACAATGATGTGCCACGCGGGATTGTAATATAGAGATTCTGCTGACCAGAACATCCTCGTATATGTCTCCAAGAAAATGAACATGATCCATGCACCAATCTCTAGCAAAAAGAACTTTATGATAAATCGCCCCACCACCACCATCACCAAAGAAAAGGCAACCAACCAATTAAAAAGTCTGTTGTTGTATTCCTTAATAAATAGAGAACGCGACTTTCCCATCATCTGCAGAATAACATTGCACAGGTATTACTAATCAGCCAGTGAAACAGGACTTGCAAGACTGACTTTGTTCTATCACATTTCAAAAATGATCGAAAATTTTTGCGTAAGACTAAGTTCAGGCAAGTACAGAAGGAATACCAAATGCATTACACAAAACAAAGTTTGGATAATTACATGCAAGTTCAAATTAGAATCAACAAGTTCAGGCAACGGGAGCTCAAGTGAAATAAATGAAGCTTATTTAACCCATTATATTACTCATTATATTTGTCTTATAAAGTTACCGATGTAAAGTTGTAGTTGCCACCAACCCCGATCCCAGCCCACACTTAAAACACTCTTTTACATACAATACTATCTTACCTACTTTTTCTTACACATGGTGCACTTGCTACACTCTCCTTCTTACCCTCCTTAATGTTTGTGCATTTAGTAATTGTAGCTAACTCAAAGGAACAGAGAAACTATAACCTACAAAAGGTTTTACAGCAGCAGACCTTTCAGAAATAACAAAGTGAACCAATATGCAAAGAAAATTCTTAGGAAAACTAAATAATTTCTCTTCAGTAATAATTATGTAATAATTAATTTGTCAAAGTATACAAGCAGGCAGGAAGATGAAGCCAAATCACGCAAGTAGGCATTGACATCTAGAGTGGAACATAGTAAATCATGAAACATAACCTTCATCATCCGTTGTTCATAGTTGACTTTTGAAGGTCCAACACACAGTTGTTCAAAACTCTCATTGCACTTCAGAAATCCTGCATTGAATTTAGCCATGGACGGAAGTCTGAGCACCTGAAGCTGGTCCATCTTGTCCTCACAAGTTGTATACAGCATCTCACAAAGTTTTGTTGATTCATATTTATTTGCCATTACATAATTCTCAAACACCTACAACATGAATAGCAACACTCATCCTCAGTCTAATGTCCAATATCATTCTAGCCTGTTGTGAGAAATGCAAAATGCAGAAAATACAATACAGATGAATGATACTGCATAAAAAAAAATTGATTAAAATTAACATATAACCTAAAAATCTAATTATATACTTCAGGCTTCATACATTTTTCATTCATCCCTTTCTAGTTGAGTGGGAATAAAAGGAAAGAATAAACAGTAAGATGAAGAATGAAGTGAATTATCGGGATGCATTCTAGTAAACAAAGCTGTACAACACTGCTTGTGGTGCAACCAAGAAATCAAATGAAAGACAACTGACATTTCTTCCAATGTCACAGCCCTTTGCAGATTAAGGAGTGTGAAATTTACTTGTACTAGTTTTTTAACACAATTTTGTTGGAACAATGGTCATCAAAATATCAAAGATAGTAAATCAAAAGGTAGAAACTATTCATGTGCAGTTTGAAAACACCATATCCAAGTTACAAAGGCTTTCAAAGTTTCTACTGATTACTGATTCTATGGTAATAGTTCAACTGGATAAATGTACCTTCTTAATTTCTTCATCCAATTGATCAACTGATTTCTTAGCATGATTACGACCGAAATGCTGTTGATCAAAAACTTTCATGGAAGCATCTCTAGAATCTTCATGGGCTATTTTCAACGAATCCTCAGAGAGAGGCAATTTCAAGATAGACATCTTTTCATTGTATAACTTCAAACACCTCTCAACAATTTTCTTATTAAAAACCTCAACAAGAGATCCAGTGGAAGGGATTTCTCCTTTGTTCAAAGCTTCAATAATCTGAAACACCAAAAGGAGTAGTTTTTCAGAACGTCGAAACAAAAGAAGCATCACACAAGCTGAAATTAACATCTTCCATCTCAACCCCACTCAACTTCTCCCCTCTAGTATAGACATGTAAAGGTGGTCATTCTTATTATAGCTTCCAGGCAATCATAACACATAATACACTTGAACATGCACGTGCACACAGGTTACTAGGACAAAGGCCAAAAAAGCACCATTCAGTTTATGTAATATGATACAAAGATATGGGAGAAAATTGAATATTAGGTTTGAAGATCAGTGACACAAGGCAAAATATTAAATATGTTGCCAGGCATCTAGAGTCTAGAGTCTAGACATCCAATCATCCAAATCCAGCTGATATGGTCACTATCTCACATTCTGAAATTTGGTGTTTAAGTCTTAGAGCACAGCAAGAAACAGTCCCAAAACTGATCACAAAAATTACATTTTAAGTGGAGTACAGAAGGCACCTGTTCCAGAAAAGAAACAAACTCCTTCCCATTTAGCATTTTACCCTGCACAATTTTTGGTCGAACAATAGAAGCAACAAGCTCCTTCATCTGGTCCCTCTTTTTCACATAGCCAGGATCAAGTTCAGTGTCATTCATGTCACAGAGTCTTGTTCTCTGTAGATGAGGCTGTTTAAAATCCAAACATTATTATTTATTAGAATCAGCCAGTCATAGAATTAACAATTTCCTTACTAAAATTCAATGAGCTATTCATATTATGATAAATGTATAGAAGGATGGATAAAAGGAGTGAGAAGATATCAGCATACAACCAGCAGGCAGATATAGCTTTAAGAGTTCCCACACAAAATGTCTAATTTATCTAATGCTTGATGATATTGAACACCACTACCTTCCACCACCACCCAATAACACAACATTAATGCAAGGATGCTAGAGTACAATGTGTGCAAACACCATAAAAACTTATCATTCATAAATGATGAGTAAGGTCAATTATATTGACTATTATAATTGACTATTGAACCACAAAGGCAGCAGAAGAGGGGCTGACTACAAAAAACCGATGCAAATACATACATAAAGCCATAAACAAACATTCATGCAAGGATGCATGCTCAACTGCTTGAGTAATTTGACTTATTTGAGTGCAAACGCCTTGGATACTGATCATTCAGGAGTATGGTCACTTATATTGACTACTAAATAAAGGAAACAGAGGAGAGTCTGAATACGAAACTTGATGCAAATATTTACTTAAAAAAACAAACCTGTGGTAAGCTGAAAGCTGTGCTGCTGTCACCCATAACACCCAATGATTCACGGATCTGGTTAACCTGATAGATAAAATTCAACAGTGAGTCCTCTCCTTCAGGTAGTCATCAGTAAGTTATCATGGAAATATTCATTTAATCTAGTTAAGCATGCATACCTGCTCAATATCTTTGTCATCTGAGCGGACAGGTTAACAGCAAAACCCATAGTCAGAATACCCGTAGGGAGAAGTAACAAGACTCAAGATTAACTCATTAACTTAATAGACAGGTGCAACTAGGAACTAGACAAACCATTTTGATTGGGGATACGCCTAAGAGCTTCATTTACCATTTCTTGCACAGATTTCCCTTCTGTAAAGAACCAATAAGAATTAGTTCTTAACATGACTCAATACCATCCTTGTTGTTAAAATAAAATCATCAAATCCCGTACAACTAAAATAACAACTACAGTAGTGATGCATATTTACGCAGCTATTTTGAGTTTCTTGAATAAAAAAAACAATCATTATACCTTTCTTGGATTTTGATATATTTATTATACGATTACACAAGCTAAGCTCACGTTTTTCATATGATAATCAAAACTCAAATCTGATTTATATTAATTCTTAACCACGTATTTATAAGCTAATAATTAGCCTAAAATCGTGTAGAACAAAATCTAATCTAACTAGGAAACTTATCCTAACTTGTAAAGATAATATTTTGCAAATATAATCTTTAAAGTTAAGCTATCTTCTATTAACCGAATTAAACTAACAAATATATCCTAATAATTAAAATAAACTCCTAAGGCCTAAAACAAGAAAAACCCTTTCAAGTGAAAGGTAAAAACTCGTAGGCAAAAATCTAAAATAAGCAATAACCATCTCAATACGTATCAAGTAGGGCCTAAACTTTATAGGAAGTTAACCTCGTCCAAAGTTTTTTTTTTTTTTTTTTGTAACTCATTTTTAAAGGCTGTGGGACCTCAAGCAACGATAGAGACCCTTGATTGTCCAAAATCGTTAATTGCATGTTTTTAAATTGTTAGATAACCGTTATTTCCCCATCTGAAAGAAATCACTATAAAAAGTTTACAGAACTTAGAACTTACGTAGGAAATCACGTTGTATTAGCCATAGAAGCTTAGCAGGTTCAAAAGCAACGTCTTCGCCCTACAAAAATGAGCCAATTAAATCATAGCAAAAATTTCAGTCCACTATTATTGTATCAGTTTGACTTTCACAATTGGAAATGCACAACTTTGATCTTTACCTATCTTTAAGTAATAATTGTAAAAGGTTAATAATTTGAAAATATACATTGAGGAAAATCCGATAACATAGTACATGTTCAATTTTGTTTCCATAGACTAGAAAAAACTTAAAACATATGGACAAATATGGTAAAAAAAGGGTATGTGAATAGTTCAAAAGTCAAAATGATACAATTTAAAATAAAACGAGGGAAAGAATATTTATCATTCAAAAAATGGGAACTTGAAAATTTCACAAGAAAGCATACCTTTACTCTGCTTTGTGTGTAAGAAGGCATACATGGGCCAAAAAAAGAGAAAAAAAAAGTTAGTGATAGCAATTTTTATTAAGGGAGAAAGATTGATTAAAAAAATATATATTGTCGTTCATGAGCAGTCTGTTAAATAATGGAGTAACAGTTTGTAAAAAAATAATGTGTAAATCAAAATTCTTAACCTTCCATAAAATTCTTCAGCAAGCTCAACAGCAAAAGAAAGTCGTGATATATCTGCTTCACGCACCTGAAACAAGTAAATACCAATCACTCTGCAGCACAAGTACATTATAAGATCACATATGTTATATATCATTGTGTACGCAGGGTCAAATGAAAGAAAAGGTCCATCTTTAACTTCTACAAGAAATATAAATAAATAGAAAATACACAATAATAAGGAAAAGAGAAAAGAGTGATACAGGTAGAGAAAACAAACCGTCTCAGGCAAGTTATAGATAAGTACAGAACTCATTACAGTAGCCAGCGCAAAAATCCTGTGGAAGAAACATCAGAAAGGCTTTACAAAAACTTACTTACCAATAAATTCCAGATTCAAAGTTAATTAAAGAGCAATATTTACCGGTCATCATAAACATTTGATTTACCAATGCTTTCAAATCCCTCTGTATCAAGGTAGAGTACAGATGTCTTGACACCATCAACCATCATTTCCACTGGCATTCCCCACACCCATATTCCTGCATATTGAAATTTCAGGAAAAACAAACAATTCATAGCAAAAATCAATAAATATCATGAAATTTCCAAAAGAGTAAAAGTCTAACTTATTAAATCATACCTTTGGTTTTAGTATCTCGCATGTGTCCAACCCCAAAACCTGTTAGAAAATAGTTTTAAAAGTGATTATGATTAGGCAAAATTCAAGCTATAATACTTTCACAGTAACTTTTTAAAGTATATAGTACATCACCTTCATTACAAGAAAGTGACAGGAGCTGATTAAGTAGAAAAGATTTGCCAGATCTATAGGGTCCAATCACCTAAAAATATAACCACAATAAGTCAAGAGAAACACGTAAATCTACATATGCAAGAAGCTTAGCATCAATAATCTCTGTCAGGTAATGCTAAAATCAAAATTTTATCTACACCATCTTGACGTGGGAGGAAAAAAAATCAAAATAGATAAACGAGCAGTATTAGAGAACAGATGGAGGCTAAGTTGAAAGAAATATTCAAAATAACAACATTAGCTTACAGCAACAGCGGAAATTGGTGTTGTTATTCTCTTAATGGCCTCCAATCCCTCCATTGAAAGGCGTAATTTTGTATGACCAGGATCAGGTTCTACAATGGGAAACCTGTATAAACAAAGACCAATGTCAGTATTGTCACCACCACGACATTCCTCAATCACAAAATCACTCTTCCTGGGCAGCACCCACGCAAACAAGTAAACAAAAAAATGCAGTGAAGATAAAAGAAATTCAAAATAAGGAGCAAATGTGGGTAAACAAGCATATATTCGTATGGAGTGAGCTAACATTAGGCTCAAACAGACATATATTTTCATGGAGTAAGCTACCATCATCCTACAGAAGACATGAATTGTCAACCGTGTAGGATAAGGGTAGCACATATCAAAATCTCATGAGCGGTACCCTAGTTGTTGAACTAAAATAGCTCATTCCTGGCTAGTTAGATAAAACCATTATAGCCAATTTTGCATAGCTCAAAGACACAATATAAGGTTTAATGAGCAATGACCAATCTATTAAAGCTGAGTAGCTGTATCAAATCGAATTGATGGAAAATTTGATAATTGGAATCTTCAGTTTAATTAGCAATGAAGAACAAACATACCCGCACTTCCAAAACAATGACACTACCCAACACTCCCCTGCCCATTACCCCCAGTCTCCCACTCCAAAAAAGGAAGGAGAGAGTGATTCAGGAGCAACATCACATGATTCACATCCATGCAGCTTTATGCCTCTACCTATGACTAATAGTCTACATAGCTCAATCTTACTGTAAAACAGCATAAGTTTTTAACCTTTCTCTGCATAATAAGATAACAAGCCCTTCATGGACATCTGTAGACTCCTACCTATGACTAATGGTAGGTTTGTGAATTTCCCCTACATAATCTGATAACAAGCCCTTCATGGAAGTTAATATACTCTTCTTCGCCTATGAAAACTAGTTTGAGACTTAAGTACTAAAGTCCAAATTTTTGTTATTACAGTCATAATAGTATATCAACTAAAGGATATATTTAGGGGAAACAAACAGCTACATAAGAGTATCAGAAGTACTGAAACAAATGTTCTGAATGAGAAAATTTTGCTTTCGTGATTGCAAAGACATAATAGCAAGTTAGCAACAGTAAAAACATGACCCCTGGTTCAAAATTAAAAGAAAAAACCCTATTGTTAAAGCTCATATGCACATAAAGGGAGGGATCCACGCAATAATTCATTCATAAAATTTCACAAAATTTTGAGGACCTGCACTACTTATTGGCATGCACTCTGACATAATCTTAACTACTCGCTAATTGCCAAGAGAAAACAGGACAAGTATCAAAATTACAGGCAGCATGACTGGCATTCTCATTTTCAAGGAGCAACTTTTGAACAATATTATACTGTAGCTAAGGAAAAAGCTTATTTATTGAATGAAAGAGTAGAGCAGCAAACAAATTGCTATACCACTGAAGGATTGGATTCATTTATCGCATTAAGTGCTCAATACAAAGAGGTCCAATAAGTAAATCAATTAACCATCAACTTCACCATGTGCAGAGCATGTGCCTCTTACTGTTTATATCGCTGTTTGCTAGTGGTTATATAACAGAAACTTCTTGACAATTCCACAGCATCTCTTAAACAAGTTTCCATTTACCTCAGTTCCTTTGTCACTCAAAGTCTTTCAAACATATGAAAGGACCTATTCTAGGTTTGGATAGGAATAACTGAACACAGGTATGAAAATGAGAATTCTTCTGCACAAGCTGTAAACTTATAGATATCCTTCATAATTTATTGAACTACTCTCACATTCACTAAGTCACTCAATATAATTATATATGTAAAGGCATCTTGGAAAATCCTATTATAAACCATTGCCTTAGGTAACAACTAGTTTCTAATTTTCCAAGATATTGTATGTAACTATTTTCTGAAGTCAGAGGGAGAGAAAATTTTCCAAAACGGCAAAACAGATTAATATAGAGAACATCTCTCAATATACACCTTAATATGGTGCACTAGTCTGTAGGAAAGTATCTCAATTCTCCTAGGATCATGTGACGTTCTTCCTTGCAATGCTGTCACATGATCAATGGTTTTCTTGCTTGTCTTTATCTGATGTATATCGTAGAGGGTTTGAAATATTAGAGTTGTAGTCTGACTAGTCTCTACCTAGGGTATAAGTCAGGTGGAATGCAGGTAGCAGCCACCACAGAATACTGAAGCTGCAAGCATAATACATAGCAGAAAATTCTGTGCTAAAAGAACACAACTGAAATAGAAAGAAAAAATCTTTCTTAATCAAGTTTCAATTTTAAACTTTAATAATCTTCACAATTTATAAAAGATACTCGTCAAAAGATCCGCAAAAACACACTCAACTCAAGTCGAGTAAAATATTAGACTATTGTTCATCTTCTGTCCTGTGGGATTTTAAGTATGGAGTTCTTTAATTAGGTCAAATGCCAGTTCTTTGTTCCAATCAGTAAAAACAAAAGTAGTACAAATTGCTAAAATTAGTATGTCAAAACAAAGGTTAAAAACTTAAAATCCCCTCTATTTCTGTTTTTGTCTTTTTGATGCTCAAACTATAACAACTAATGTGGTATCTTAAATCTTAGAAACGATCACACTTCCTCTCTAACTCTTTTCCTTGTTCCAATTCTCTTTTCAATACAAAAAACTTTCTTGGTAGGACCTAAAAGACCACACCCTAATCCATTTCACTGGCAATGCTCCAGCAAGGTACCGTCTTGCCGGTCATTTCTCAGCACACACGGCCTTGCCCAGGGTTGCACAATAAACTTATAATGTATATAGCTCACACAAAATGTGACACAAGTTATGTCATGTATAGAAATTTACTCAATTTGAGCTTACATATTAACATATACATGCAATTAATACTAAATTTACCCAAATCCACAATTAAAGCAGCAATTATAAACAAATACACATGATAAATTTCAGTAAAAATTTAGAACTACACAAAAAACATAAACCTTGATTGACCAAAAAAGAAAGCTATAAACTTGATGAAAGAGAGAGAAATTATAACATACGCTTGATGGAAATCATCAATTGAAGAAGACCCAATTGCAAAAACCGATAAAAGAATCGAAATAACCAAAACCCAACTCCAAATCTTCACCATTGTTCTTGATTCAATGTAAACCAGATGCTGTAAGATCCCAGGTGGGTCGGGTCGGGTTGTATCACATTGAAATCAAGAACCCATCATTTGAATTGATAATTATAACAACCCCAGAAAACCCAATTGGATTAATTTGGCATCAAATCAAAATTCTTTAAAATTGCAAAAATTGGGTTAAGTTTTATTACGCTTAGAATCCTTGCCTTGCACCGCTTCTTCTCCTCTTTCGGGCGGTTTAAGGTTTCCTTCCACGAATTTTCCAAATTAAAATATAAAATATATTCAAGAAAAAAATAATCAATAAGTTTTTATTTTTTTCGAGTGAGAATGTTGAAGATCTTAAGAAGAGGAGAGAGAGTGTGTTTTGAGAAGAACGAGCTTGAGATTTGAAGATTTTGAGCCATTGGAGGTGATGGGGGCCATGGGGTAATTTGGGAGAATGATAGGGGTATTTTAGGTAATTCATGTTGGTTATAATGTAAATTGTTATACGTGGTTTGAATCTATTGGATAGTGATGTTGGTCAACGGAGCTTAAGAGGAGGAGACTTTCTAATTTTATTATGTTCATTCATCTTTCGAAACATGTTGACTTGATCATGAATTCGTGTAAGTGAGCATTTGCCTAATGACCTTATTGAAGGAGCATTCTTTTTTTATGCTATGATTTGAAAGTGTTTATGTAGGCAACAAAAGCCGCTTGAAGTGAATTTGACATGTATTGGTATAATAAATAGGATTGTAGAATTGGAAAACGCTAGTTGAGTTGCATATTAGTAGGTTTTACTATTTACACACTACTCGTCACCTAAACAATCAAGCTCTTATGAATGAAAATTCCAACACTTGATGGAGATCTAAACACTCATCTACAATTGCCATTCTTTAGAATTCTTCACACTCGTTGCTCACATGGTTAAGTAAGAAAACTATAATTGTATTTGGTGCTTTATACGTATTGTAAAGCAATATCATTTGTTATTTTGATAGTATTATTTTAGTGTATTTACAAAATATCAACTCCGCATACTTTTTAATTGAAACTTGATTAAAGATATAGCCTACTTCAATACATCATTAGTCATTACATATGTAATACGAAGTACTTGGTATGTTGAATATTGCACATTTGCAGTTTTGCACCCAATAAAATTATGTATCCATGTTGAATTGCTTATTAAAGAGCTAGTTGTCTTTAAGTGTCAGGAGGTTAGTAGGCCTATATGATTTTAGAAGCCCAAAACTCAGAAGGTCGTTCAGCCCATTAACTCATTAAACTTGGCCTAATTGAAAGCCCAAAACTGTGCCATGTGTTTATTTCCACTTAGTACTGATAAGAATGTGGGCTTTATGGCCTGTTTTGGGGAAACTATGTTGTCTAATAGACCCAAGCAAAATAAGCAATGATCCTAACTTGAGATAAATATATAACAAATTATGCAACTTTTACTCTTTCTACTGTTAAATGAGAATTATCCTTCGTAATTTATCATAATTATCCACTACTGCTTAAGGTGATATTGATCGATAACAAAAAAAACGTACTCCATACTTGATAATGAGAAAATGTAATGCTGAACATTAGCACTCGTGTTCTCGTACAAAATATCATTCAGTACCTTATAGTCTCTTACCAAATGAGTCTAAAAGAAATTGGATGGTTTGTATCATTGTATGACCATAGATACAAACTCTAACATAATACTTATTGGGGAAAGAATGCCCTCTAGTATCTGCAATTAATATCAGAGTTGAAGAGTACTTGTTTGCAACATTTCATCACTCATCATAATAAATTAAAATACGTCACATATATGATACATTTAATCATACACATATATCACAGCATAATTGCACTTTGTTTGAAAGAGTATAGTCACGTACTATATATCTAAAATAAATGAGTATATTGATAAAAATAAAAGAACATATCTTCATGTTCCATGTTATTTAGATAATTTAATCACAAATTTACGCACATTTATTTATACCATATGTCACTGCACTATATCTTCATTTATTAACTTATAGTCTTATACAACTACTCTGTACGTTATTTTGATGAATGAAGTAAGCTAGCGATAAGGTTTTTTTTTTCCTCTTATTCTAATTCGTTCTTTTATTTAGATTTGTTTCTCTACGAGTACGATGTGCATCATATTTTCAGGTATACATCTTCTTCCTCACCCTAAATTAGTTGTTTTAAAGAACGAGAGTGGACATGTAAAGTATTTGAGTACCATTTTCTATAACTACTTCAATAAAACAGTGAAATCCTATATAATTTTACCATAAACTTTATTTACTTTTACCTTAGAAAATTGACATTAGTTGAAGACTTGAAGGACATCTTTAATCATGGCATGACTTTTGTTAGGCAGCAATGGCTTTAAAATTGAGTGATCAATGTTTATGTCTTACGACTTTAACATCATTTTTGTCAGCCTTTTACACTTTTTATTTATTTTATTTTTAATAGCACCTGTCTTTTTTATTTTTTACCCAGACTATCATCCCACGCTGAAAATGTGACTCTACCTATAATTTTATTTTACCTCACTACATTATTTTATAACGCAATATTTTTTTTATTAGTTTTCGTTCATTTTATATTTGTAGAATACTATATTATATAAATTGGTGATAGAAAATAAAAAAGTATAGTTGGTTACACACTTGGCGAATATTACGGTACTTATAGATGGTAACAGATATAGTTGCACGTGAATGCATTATGCTTTTGCACTCTTGTTTGGTACATTTCCCCAACTGAAGATGAATATCACACATTTTTGGGAAAATTAATAACGTACGCACTGCACTACAATTCAACTAACTGCAGTATTAATATTCTCTTATACAAGTATTATTATTACTCGTATAACAATGAACAAAATTCTTAACAATATTTTAGGATATTAATGAGGTCTCTTATCCATGTTCATCATATGATCGATATCCACCTCCTAAAATGTATACTCATCCCTGAACTTATTCAACTACCACAGTATATTATTCCTTTCGACCCTTCATTTTCATAATGTTGCGTATTGTAATCACGTTACAGTCAAAGTTTTCATTCTTCAATTACATAAGTTTTTATAGAAACATGAAGAACTTTATAAAAGGGAGGATATACAAAAATTCGGACTACTACTATCGTTGATACAATTATATGATATGATGGAGCTTCAAATGAATAGAAAGTAACGAGTAAAAGGATAAATGAGGTTTTACCGTGATCATAGTGTCATTAGTGATTTCATATAGATTTTGATTATTGATCCTCAATAAGAATTAAATTAATATTTAATTAGCTCAAAATTCTTTAGGTCGATATCAATTAACATTAAATAAACAAAAAAAATAATACCTCATTAATAAATAAAACTCGAATTCAATACTACTTGAGAAATATTATTATATTTAACTGAAACTTGAACCTTTAACAACTATGAGTACTACATAACGTTAGGGAACTGATCGCCTTTAGTCATTAGAAAACTACAACTCTACGAGTATAGTAATATCTTAAGGATTGATTACTTACACAAGTAAGTCGAGATTACTATAAGAAATAAAGATATATACTTATATTATTTTCAAGTTGCCTCTTTTTAATTTCTTAGTTTGGAAGAGTAATTTTGCTTTTCTTTTTCTCCCACTATATACATGTCATAAAAGTCAATAATATGAATGTATAATTGTATATTGAAGTCAATATATCCAATACAACCTTTCGATGGATCGTTAGTCAAATTTTCTGACTTCACCCTCTTTAATACTTCGTATTTATAATTACTTAAATATATAATGTATAGCCTCAAATCAAATATAAGAAGTATGCAAGCTAAGAGTCTAGTGCAAAGGATCTGACTTCGAGACTTGAAAGTTATAGGATTAAATCTCATCAAAAGCTATTTAAAGTGGGAATTCTCTTATCCACTCACTTTTAATGAGTGTAATATACAAAGACGAATTGAATTGATCATTAAAAGATGCCGATTCAATAAGATTTTTTTCCTTATATTACAAATATAATAAAAAAAATTAAAGGCCACCAGAAGTCAGCCAAAGTTAAAGGAAACGCCATTACTACAATTTTCCATGCAAACAATGACACAATGTTCAACATAATGTTATTCTACCTAATTACCAGTATGAAGAAGAAACAAAAATTAGCTCATTAAAACTTTATCTAACTCATGATATATATGTCGTCATACGAAGAAGAGGTGGTCCAAAAATGCATGGTATATGAAATACTTTAGACCTAAATATAGTGCATGTTTACCTGCACTAAGAGCCGAGGTAGGATGATGAAATTCTCGTGTCTTTGGCAGTTTTCTCTAAAGAGGAAACCCCTTCAACATCTCAATTCACGAGTATAGAACCACCCCCCCACCCGCTCTCAACAACATGACCTCGTATCCTCGTGTAAGAGAAATCTCACGATAACTCACTATAACTTTACTGATGAGTATTAAATTAAAACGGTCTTACATACAATTAGGTGTACATTAAACACTCAATAATCGCTTCAATGCTTCATACACATGAAGCATGGTGTTATGTGTGTGCATAAACCTGTAATTAATAATCAAATATAATTTGGTCAAAACAATAATAGTCCCTTTACATTGGAATAACTACTCTCTTAGATATTATCTCTCAAAATATGTGTCCCTCCTTAGAGTCTTTACTCAGGGTAGTTGCATGACTTATGAGTTGAATAATTAGCTTTATTAGATTTAATTACTTGATTATTCTTATTGCATATCCTCCATTTAATGATTGATAACAACGTTAGGAAGTTTCAGATCGGAAGAAACTAAGATAAGTAATCTCAATTAGCCATTCAACCTACTTACAAGTCAATTTCACGATAGCCCAAAATCGAGTAAAATCCCTAAAAAATAAGATAAAAATAAATAAATAACAACTCAACAAGCTACTACGATAGAATCAATCTAACTCATCATTTTGAATGAATTAAACCAAAATGTACGAACAAAAATTTAATGGAAAGAGCGAGTTCACTTAATTAGAGGTAATTGAAAGTAAAACATGGTTATTCAACTAGGCCATATTGTTATTGTTTGGGTCCAATTTAGTCCAATTGGGCCTAGGCATTAAATGATCCAATTAAAAGCCCAAGGTCAAGGTTCATCTCTCCAATTGTGCTAAAGTCAAAGATCAGTCCTCAAGGCAAGCCAATTGGGCTAAGGCCCAATTTCTCCATGTATGTAAAGGTATAAAAGCCATCAATATTACATTTGTACATTAAAAAAAAAAGCAAAGCCTCAAGCAATTAATTCTCTTGCATAGTGTTCTCTTTCTACACACTGTATTGACTTTAGCATCGGAGGGGCCTTCCTCGGCAACACCCCCGAGGCTAGTTTACGTGTGTTTACTGTGCAGAAAACCTTCGGCCCAACATCACTTGGACCGAATCCAATCTTCTCCACTTCATCGAACCTTCGACAAGGTCCCATTGTTTTCACCCGAAACAATTTGGCGCCGTTTGTGGGGAAGACTTTCAAAAATCTTTAAGCCAAATTTCTAACCAAGATCATCTTGCAATTATCTTAGTAGCAATGGCTAAGAACCG